ATTTTTTAAAAATGTATAATTTAGTTTTAAGTTAGGCTAACAGGTACTTCCAATTCCTTCAATTTCAGATCTTTATTAAATCCAGGAAACAGTTCTCTTGCTCCTTATAATGAGAAAAATCCATTCATCCATCAGTTAAAATCTGGAAACTCAGATCGTCTGCAGAATATTATTAATTCTTTTAATTGCCAAGTTAAACTTTGATATTTACCCTGAATATTATTCAAATGACACTCAAATGAATGTGCAAACTATACAGTGAAGAACATAATTAAATTTTTATAATATCAAATATTACATGGTACTCATAAACAATGTTTGAATAAAAAGTTGTATTTTTTTATAAATAACAACATTTATACATGTAATGTGTATTAATATTAAAATAAAAATTATCTTGTTAGTTGTTTTTTTTTGTTCTGTTTTATACTACAGTGAAATGTGTGACTTTTTATACGTGAAAAAGGTTGTTGCTAGCTTTCCCCCCCCCCCAAAAAAAACAGAAAAGTTGACAGGCTTTTTTTTTTTTCGTCCTCCGAAGTTTGTTTCTTGAAAAAAAATCCGTAAAACTAAAAATCAAATTATGGTCGCCTAACCCAAAGATACTTTGTGGCAAGTTTGATTGAAATTGGCCCAGTGGTTCCTTAGAAGAAGATGAAAATGTTTAAAGTTTACAGATGAAGGGACAGGTATACAGAGGGATGGACAGACAGACAACAAGTGTTCAAACTTTCAGCTCAGGTGAGCTAAAATCCCTCAGAGAGAAAGTATAATGCATCATAATGATTATATTTTTTTAAAGAATGAAACTAAGGTGCAACCTACCAAAACATTAGTTACTAATAATAAGAAATCTGTGAGCCAATGCTCACTAGAAATACCCTGCTGTGAATAAACACTTTCATGTTAAATATTAACACATTCAAGTTCATTTACGGGCAAATGCACAGAAAAATATGAAGTTGAAATCAGATTCACATCAAAATTAATCTCACCATATAACATGTCTCAACAAACAGTGCACTAAAATTTTGAACAATATTTTGCTATCATTAATAGTTGAAGAAAAAACTGCGACGAAAATTTCTTATATATGAAACAGACAGAGGCAGAGAAAAACAGGAAGTTGACACCGGATTTGAATAAAAATGTATCTCACCGCGTATTGCATGTCTGAGAGAGGATTGTGTTAAAATTTCAAGCATCTGCAATGAGTAGATGCTGAGAAAACTGTGACGAAAATTTGTTGACTGTATGAAACGGACAGACACACAGACAAACAGTAATTGGCATCAGATTTAAACAAAAGAGTAAAAGCTTCTACAATGATCAGTTTCTGAGAATTTAAACTATATGATGAAAATTTGTTTTGGACAGACACACAGACGGACAGACAGACACACAAGGGTAAAACAGTAAACCCCCCTCTCTTTCAGATCGGGTTATGATATTATTTAGTTTTTCTACGAATGAAAGGTTTTTTTTTCATTTTTCTCTCTTATTTGAAATCAAATGATGCACAGACTTACGACCTTTTGCTTCTATGGCGTCGACATGTGTAGCAAAGAAAATAGATCATGACGTTTAAAGATTGAGACATAAATTACGCTTGCTTTAGTCCGCTGATATACTGTGACTTACACTCTTCCTTTATTTTTTTCATAACTTTCTTATATAATGTAAAATTATCATAAAATTTGATATACTTGATCATAAAATGTAACTCTTTGCTATGATAAGAAAAGGAATTTTATTTAGCAAAGAGAAACTAAAGTGTTTTCCCTGTCTACGACTTTTTGGGACAAATATATCCCTTGTATACACACCCCAAATGTGTTAACTGAATAAAGTAAAAGTTTCAATATTTATAAAAAGAGAGGTAGATTCTGACTGAGACAGACAGACAGGCAAAGTGATTCCTAAGCAACCCCTTAATGTGTTTGAGGGGTGTTGAATAAAACTAACAGTACCAAATTATATACAAACAGAGAGGTATAGACTTTGTGTTTTTTAGACTTACCGGGAAGCCCATCACGTAGTCGGCGTGCCAGGCAGGCGGACGCCGAATCCTCGTAGACCGTCGAAGCTCCATCTAGTCATAAAAATAAAAGTTCATCAGTACATTGTCCTCAAAGTTAAGATTTTCCTTAAATTTTAAAATAATTGGCACTTACGGTAATAGAGCATCCAGGAGTGTTTCTGGTGCATTTATGTCAAATAAAAGAATTACCTATTTCAGGTAAGTTATAATGGCCAATTTTTTTCTCATTTCAAGTCTTATTTTTGCAATGATTAGGTACTAACATGTATTAAATTCTCAAAGTTCATTTATGACTTCCTACTCACTAATAATTTAAATATTTCTTTCATGTTTTTAATTATCCTAAAGAAATATTCATAATTTATTATATTACACACAATACCAACAAACCTGGCAGTGCAAAATCATGCATATATGCAGAAAGGAAAGGTTAAACTATATTGACAATATGATGGATAACACTGGATAAGTCATGCATTTACATGTATATCTACCAGTCAGAGTTATCTTTCTTTTAAAGTATCAATTAACTTCCAAGATTAAATTGTTAACAGCTTAATAATGATTAAAAAATAAACAACTGTTACAGACTTTTGGTGCTCTTTCAATGAGGTACACTGTATTTTATTGTGGCCCCTCGTTCATTAATATGTATTAATATTAATAATTATGTATGTTACGTCTTCTCATTCAAGTCATGGGCAAGATCAAAGGTTTTAAAAAGTAGGTCAAACTTCAAGATCAAGGTCAAAAATCATAGTGTATTTAGAAAGGTCTTGTCACATATAGTATAAGTTTTAATATGAAAGCCCCACTTCTTCTCATTCAAAAGTTATGGCCAATTTTAAGTCTTTTTTTTTTTTAAGAAGGTCAAACTTCAAGGTGATGAGTTCAAAAATCGGTGTATTTAAAAAGATCTTGTCACATTCAATATACAGGTCTGATATGAAAGCCTCTTCTCTTCTCAATTTGAAATGTCATGATCAAGGTTCTTTTTTGAAAATTAGGTCAAACCTCAAGGTTATTATAGTCATGAGGGAAAAAATCATAGAGTTCTTGTCAAAAATAATATACATATTTTCAAATGTGAGATATGAAAGCCCCATCCCTTCTCATTCAAAAGATATGACCAAGTTTGAAGTGGAAACTGATAAACTGTCAGACTTACAGACTGACAGACGGACAGACAAATGAGATTTAATATGACTTCCCTCACCTTCGTGAAAGTGGCAGACAATTAAGAACATCCAGGCAAAACTATTTTGAATATTTTCTTAAAAGCTTCTACAAATCTAAAGTTACTGTCAAGCTCATTTAGAAGGTCTACTAGATCAATTAAGTCCACTTGTATATAATTTTAGTTATGCCATAATTGAGGGAGGGTCAATATAATCCATATTTTGAAAAACTGTTTACAGGGTAACCGGCAGACATACAGACAGATGGAGGGACAATGGAAAATAAGTCAAGATCTTTTGGTCTAATCAGTTAATAGAAGAGCCATGTTACACAGATCGAGACTTGTTTGTAAACTGTTTTAATTTACATTAATCCCAGACAACCCTGACAATATTAACTGAAGAACACACAATACAGAATACTCAATATATACACTAATACTTATAATATATATAATAAGGCGTAACAAAAAAATATGTTTGTTTACGGTTACCCGACCGACCCTTATTTTAATCGCCGACCCAAACTTTTTTTTCGTCATAAAAATCCGGAAGTTACTGGCCGGTCAGTTTAACTTTTACATTCATCTTTGAAATCGAAATTGAAAGTACAGAAACAAAACCAGTGAGTTTAATTAATTTCTACATCAACAAGTTCGTTGCAATTTGCTTACCACTGCGTGGCAGTTGCAAGGGTGTGCAACTAGCATCGCCCAACGCCCGGTGCTACCGTTTTTTTGGGGGTAGCAAATATAAAATTAAAATTATGCATGTATAATTATAAATACAGTACGTGATCGAGAAACACAAATGGTATTTTCACTCATCCCGTACGAAATTCAGAGACGTATTACGCCTGGATTTTTTGCAAATCCTGGCGTACAAGAGACGTATTCTTAAAAATACGGTTCATTTGCAGGCGTACACGTATTTTTGCCAGAAATACGTCTCCTTTTTTCCAGGCGTAAATTCTAAATCCGGGCGTATTTTCTACTTAGTCTCTTTGGCACAAGGAAATTAAAACTTAGAAAATTTCAAAAGGTGTATTTTTTAAAATTCGGGTGGATTTTTCAACTTAGCCAAAAAAACTTAGTCAACTCATTCTCTTTTTTTTAAAGTATTGAGTTGCATAAGAAACATTTTTATTATATTATATAACTTAAACAAAAAAAAAACAAAGTATTGCATGATTGTATACATTACAATATTGCATTTAGTTTGTTGTATTAAATATCAAAGCAATTATTTTTCATAAATTAAACTGATTTTTTCTTTTAGAACTTTTTAAGAACATTATCCCATGGACCTAAAATTTTGTCATTCCCATTTTTTTTTTAAAATTGATATTATTTTTCTTAACACAAATGATTTCTATAACTGTAAAGTAGATAGTATATTCTTTGAACTTCATGATTAATTGTTTAGTCAGGCTATAAACATATACATGTTATTACAATTAAATGTTTTTCTTATAAAATGATTTATATTTGGTATATTTAGATACTCTGTTACATTAATTACCATCAACTTTCACTTTCCTAGCCTAACCTGCTGGGATTGTGCTAATTACTTACAGATGTGTTGAGCATGTTTAGGAATGACTTATCTGTGATGTTGTAAACCTAAGAACGGCTTATCAATTTATATCCGGTTTGTGTACAGCAGTTCTATTTCCCACCCTAGTATCTTTTTAATTCATATAATGAATACACCTTGTTTATACATTGATGGAATTTTATTTTTATGTTCTAGCTGTAAACAAAGCAGCATTTTTCTTCAAAATTACAAATTGTACTGAGTAGAACTTCCAGAAATCATAAAAGAGTTTAGCTAACTAGGGGGTTGTAAATAACAGCATCTGCATCCAAGTATTTGCGCCAATTTTAAACCACCAGGCAGGTCATGCCAAGAACAATGAGATTAGAGAAAGCCACAACAAAGCACAGATGGTGTAGAAGAGGTAAATATTTTGAAAACATAGCTTAACATTGAAACTTTTTATCTATGAAAATAAAAGACAGCTGCATTTGCTTTTGATTTGCAGAGCCAGATGTTAATGATTGAAAATTGGGACAGTAGTATTTTGAATTACATAAATTATTCTTTTTCCAGAAAATGATTTACATCTAAATCCTTATCACAGTTGGAAAATTGATTGAATGATGAAATGGTCATAAGAGGAGGAGAAAAGATCTTGCAATATTAAGAGTTGACCAGCAGCATAGCTTTCCATAAATGCAATAATGCCAGTGAACTGTATACCATTGGAAGATTGCATCAGGAAGAAGATGACCGTTTGCAATGCCAGTTATAAAGCATTCAAACTTCTTTTTGTGAATATTTCAATCTATGAAAATGTGATTGGGAAATGTGATGTGAAACGTGAATGACAGAATTGCTCGTGATTTGCATCTTTTATGCCAATTTAGGAGTAAAAAGAATGGCAGGAGTACTAAGCATGATTCTCAAAACTGTGATTCACTATGATTATTGGAAATTGTTTCAAGTGTTTACTATAAAACTCAGCCTTGGATGTTAAAATGCTGTGAAACGGTTAATATATTCTAACATGTAACTGTGCTTTGAAAAAGTAAATGTAAGATTATGATTTTTTAAATTTTAATGACAATCCTTTACTAATGAATCTCATTCACATTTTATCACACTGAAAAATATTAAGAAAATAAAAGTGATGTATGCTTAGCTTAATTTGTCTAATCTTTTTTAGCATATGTAGTCAAAAATCTTTGTACTAAAGTTGATTGTACAATTTATATTCATACTATAGTTGTAGCTCCCATTGCTGTAATATAATTAATATTTAATTCAAATCTATTTAAAGCAGGCGTATTTTTTGTACAGGCGTATTTTTTTGTACGGGCGTATTCTTTTATACGGGCGTATTTATTTTGCAGGCGTATTTTTAAGGGTATGCTTGAAATCTAGGCGTGATTCTATTTTTAAAATTTCCAGACGTATTTTGAATTTCCAGGCGTACTCATTTGCATATTTCGGCCAAAAATACGGGAGGATTACGCCTCGTGTACGCCTGTATTTTACATTATACGCCTGGTCTTATATATTCATTTCAATAGAGATTTCCACAAGGATTTTTAGATTAAAATACGCCTGGATTTTTTTAAAAATACGTGACTTAAATTTCGTACGGGATTGTTTTGCTATTTAATTTCCAACTAATGAAAATTTTCCAGGCAGCATGCTCCTACTGTTCTTAAATCACTTTAATCTCATCCATTTTGCAGTACTACCTGACTTATTTACTTAAAAAAACGATCGTTTTTTCCTAATCCGAATTTCCTCCATTCCTCTGTTAAAGGTAAATACATGCAGATATCTCATTCAATTATATACGATCCCCCAATCAACTGATAGCTAAGTGTTATGTGATTAAACTTTAATATATATCAATTATACTTAATGGTTTGAAATGAAAATAAAATGATTTTTGCTTCATTTTAGATAAGCCAGACTAGTGCAATATGTTGAGAAAAGAAAAGATAATTTCTTAAAATTTATAAACTTCAACTTTAAAAGGAATGGTTTAGGACCTGGCCTGGCTTTCTCAACAATGAACTTTTTAAAAACCCGTACGAAACAGTCCGGGCAGCTTAGACACGGCTTAGGCACGGATTCCGTTGCAGAAACCCGTGCTTATAAAATTCCTGCTCCTATGTAAAGTATGTATGGAAAGCCGTGCCTGAAAGTGGTCGAGGCACGGACACGGCACGGGATATTGGCCGAATTATTTAAATGAGATCACACGGTTTTACAAAATCCGTGTCGGAAAGCCGTGCTTGTTTCCATATATGGACTCACGGATTCTGTAAACCCGTGTCTGAAACCCGTGTTCTTTTCCATATATGGAGACACGGATTTTTGGAAACCCGTGTCAAAAAAGCCGTGTGACATACCATATATGGAGTCACGGGATCTGTGCTTTTGTCTAGATCTAGGTCAGGGCCTGTAGAGAATCTCCTGATGTAACTGTATGTGGATGCCTTGAAATGGTGACTGAAACCAAACTTCACAATGCTTTAATGTTATCATTATGCTTAGCTTTAGAATTTTAAAAGTTGGAAATCTTATATAAATGTGTTCTGATATACTTTCTGTTAAAGATTAAGATTGCTTTATCAGTTACAATCCATGCTAGTTTTTAATTAAGAATTTAATTGATAATGTACAATTCTGGGAATTGTAATTTTATCGTAGTTTGGACAATCTGAGAAAGAATTTAATTTAAATAAACCTTTTTGTAGCTTCAGTGATGACACATAAAATATTTGGGGATTAATTACTGAGAGTACAACTAGAGTCATTCAAATAAACAGAGATACAGTGTTTCATCATGTTCAATATCAACATTGCAAATACAGAAAGATCATGAAAATTGAAAATGAACTAATAGTTATTCTATCTTAGACTTACTGCATTTAGTTTAAAAGTGAGGAAATCCTCCAAGACTGACATAAATACAATTCCAACTGACATCTATAAGTTTAACATCCTTTAACTAGAGTAAAAAAGACACATTCTTAGCTCATGACCATGAATCCCTCCAATTCAATATTCAAATAAAGGAAGTTATGATTGAGCATGCTCAGTAAAAAGCCATGAGATATAAATAAATAGTTTGAAGCAAAACCCGCCCGAGTTAAAAACCGTCTCCCAGGGACACGGATTCCATGCTTCCACACGGGTTTCTGTGAGCGAGGATTCCTCACTTTCAAACTCAAAAGCCGTGTCCGTGTCTTGGACATGCAGAACCCGTGCCGCTATTTAAAAACCCGTGCGGATTCCGTGCCTTAGCCGTGCCCAAGCCGTGCCTATTCCGCCTCGAACTTTCGTACGGGATATTAGTTTTTACAATTTTTTGTTGCCCCTAGTATATTTGGACTGGTCACTTTTAACTGCGGACTAGTAACTTTATTGCTGTTACAAACCTGTGGGTTAGTACTTAATTTTTTTTTTCAATTGCACACCCCTGAGTTATAAGGCAGTTAGCAAGAAAGATAATATTGTCAACCACCCATATTACAAGCCCAAACAAAAGTAAGGCACCATACAATGGTAAAACTGTTTTTTAATTCAACCAATTCATGTGAATTTGTGTATAAAAAAATTCAATAAAATAAAAAAAAATTCCTACCTACCGACCCTATTTTATTTAAGCATGTAACAGTAAACAAAGTTATTTTTTTGTTTGGCCTAATTATATATATAATTTAATCATGGTAAATATGTCGTGAATGGCGTTATGACCAGATTTTTTACTTTCCAACTCTGGTCATGACCAGATTTTTACATGTTGGAGGTTGGCAAGTATGATAAAAGGATTTATCATATTTTTCCTTAATGTTATCATGGTTATATACATAATTGAAGTGACATTATATGAAGATGATTAAACACAGGTTTCATCAGATTTCCTGTCCAAATGGATTTTGAGAATAAGATTTTTAAAGATTTTCCCTACATTTTCCTATGGAAAACTTTGATCGGCCATTGTGGCCCCATCCTAGCCTCAGGGGTCATGATTTGAACAAACTTAAGACTACACTACCTGAAGATGATTTCACATGTCAGTTTCATCTTTCCTGGACCAATGGTTCTTGAAAAGAAGATTTTTTTTAAAATGCCATTAATTTTTCACTATTCAGATAATTATCTCCCCTTGGAAGAGGGCATGGCCCTTCATTTGAACAAACTTGAATCCCCTTTACCCAAGAATACTTTGTAGCAAGTTTGGTTGAAATTGGTCCAGTGGTTCTTGAGAAAAAGATGAAAATGTGAAAAGTTTTTGACGACAACAACAACGACAGAAAAAGGACACATTTTGATCAGAAAAGCTCACTTGACAATGCATGGTTGGGACGAAATCTTGTCTACAAACAGACGGACAGAGTGATTCCAATATACCCCCCTAAACTTCGTTTGCGGGGGTTATAACAACAGTATTTGTTATCATACACATATTTTGAGGGGTACATACTCTCTTAACTTTAACTTTTTATGCGCCCAAAGTTAATCGTATTTATAGTATTTTTTTTTGTCCTGTCTGTCTGTTTAGCTGTTTGTCTGTCTGTTGTCAACTTTAACCTTCGCCATATCTTTTGAACCGTGATAGATAGAGACTTCATATTTGGTATGCCTACTCCACTAATAAAGCACTTTCAACAGACACCAAGGTCAATGACCTTGTGACCTTGACTGAGACCTTTATGCTAAAAATAGCTTTTTCAAACTTTTGCCATAACTTTTGAACCGTGATAGATAGAGACTTCATATTTGGTATGTAGTCATGTGTATACTCCATTTATTAATCACTTTCAACTGACACCAAGGTCAATAACCTTGTGACCTTGACTGTGGCCTATATGCTAAAAATAGCTTTTTTTTTTTTCGAATTTTCATCATAACTTTTGAATCATAGGTGAAAGAGACTTTATATTTGGTATGCATACTCCACTTACAATTAAGTGCTTTCAAATGACACCAAGAACAATGATTGTGGGACCTTGACTGAGACCCATTTGCTAAAAATTGCTTTTTAGAAGTTTGCTGCCGTCGGGCGCATAGTGTTTCACAAACACATCTTGTTGAATATAAGGATAATCTAATTGACAAATATAATATTATTTTCAAAATACAGATCAGGCACATTTGAAATAGTAGAAAAAAACCCAAACCCTAGGAGACAATAGTGTAAAATTGATTGATTGTTTAATGTCCCTCTCGAGAAGTTTTCACTCATGGAGATGCCACCACTTGACGGTGGAGAGCTGCAAATTTTGTCTTATACTCGGCACTTACAGGGCCATTGAGCAGAGAGGGGTCTTTTTCTTGCCAGCACCTACTGCGACATGGGATCTCGCTTAATACAGTCTCATCTAAAGACCGGACTCCCATCCCACAATGGGATTCGAACACGCGACGTTAGGATTGACTCCTTACTCCACGCCTCTACAGCAGACGCTCTAACCATTGTGCCACACGGGCGACTTCAATAGTGTAAGAAGTCTGTGCATGATTATTTATTTATTTTCTTCTAAACTTAACGTGTACTGTATTTTTTTAACTAAGTATGTCAGGGCCATTGGCCCAATGGCTGATATTTGGTGTCTCGGGCCACTCTCCATATGAGTGAAAAATTCTCGAGAGGGATGTTAGACAACTTAAAACAATCAACCACACAGCTAGATTTGAGAATTTTATATTAACATATAATAATGGTAAACAATAAATAATTACAGCTGGTTGGTATGTAAATAATCAACTCTGCATATTGTAGTTTGTCTGCATTATACCAGGGACATATATACTAGACAGTACATAGGTCCCTGATAATACATTATAATTATACAGTGCAAAGTTTCCAAGTTTGACTTTTGTTCTTGATGAGGCCCCCTATACAGCTATACACCCTTA